ACAGAAACACACTGGGCTCAGATTTATACATTCGATGCAGATTCAAGTTTACTAGGGTGAGGTTTGGGGATTGTGAAACAGAAAAGTACAGTATGTGTGGCAAGAGAACAAAAATTATTATAATTTTTTTTTACCCAAATACAAAACGTCCAACTTCCATCAGCCAGAAATGGTTTACCAGAGCTCCAGTAGCAAATATTACCTGTGTAGAAGTGGGAAAATAAGACACACCAAAGACAACAATCTAATTGCCATCCATTTTCTGTATGCACTTATTTCCTATTTAAATAGATAATCAAAAAAAATATGATATCAATTTTGGTAATCATATTCTTTTTTATCATAGAGTATCATTCACAACTAGCTTTCAGAGTAAACCCACCTGTCCAACACAGACAAATAGGGAAAAGATGATGGTTCCCAGCCTATGAAAAACAATGAAAGATGACACTGATCAGGATCAGCACAACTCACTCTCTTTCACTTTCACTTATGGTGGATATACATAATACACATTTAGTGAACTCAAAATAGATGTGACTTATTGGTCTTTGTACCTGATGCCAAAGACCCTGTCAAGCAGGAAGCCCCCGAAGAAGCAGAGAACCACATTGGGCCAGGAGTACCAGGCATACAGCTGCATGAACTTAGCAGTGTTCAGGTTCAAATCCTGGTAAAGTCAGGGAGGAAACACATCAGACTCTTGTTGATCACTTCATCACTTTTCGGTTTTAAGTTTTACAATTAAAACCCAGATTTGAAACAAAGGGTATAGTCTATGGAGTTGAAATGAAATCCTCTCATAGCAGTATTTGGGAAGAGGGTAATGTGATTATGCAGATTTTACTCTAAGCACCAATGCTTTATTGAATACAGAAGTCTAAAGTGTCTTTTGTGTGAATTATTTCACTAAGTGGGGACTTTGTCTCAGCCTGGCATTACTGTGAATTGCTGCATTAATAGTATGATGCTCTGGTGTAAAACTTTGCATTTGCAGAGCATGAATTACCTGGAGGACTTGAGTTTGAAGGGCAGCCGGGTTGTCATAACAGAAGTAGCTTCCTGCAGCAAAATAACTACATTAACAGAGTACAGACATAATGATACTGCATTTCTTTAACATTACACAAGCCGCAAGGGGCAAGACCACTACACGCTTTCTTTAAGGTAAATGCTACTTGTCAAATTTAAGTTAAACCTCTACAATAACCCGCCAGGATGTTTAGTTAAGTAAGGGCTTTTCTACTGCTCACCGAATCCCAGAAAGCACATGAATAGCAGGACAACCACACGGTGCAAGAGGTGGCTGGGGTCGCAAATGGCCGGCATCGGTCTGCCGGGTCCTCTGGCTGCCTGTCTGCTGGTGAACGACCCCTCATCGTCATCTCCCAACAGGCTCCGCCGCTCCTCATAGTCCGCCATGTTCGTTTGTTTGGGAGAAGGTGGAAAAAGTTCACGGCAACAAGGAAGACGAAGGCGCTAGATCATATGACCCGCCAGGCATGTCATGTGGCGTTATGCTGCATTCAGGCCAGGTCAGCAGAATGGGAAGTTTGTACGACAGACGTTATTCCAGTTTGGGGGGTGTTCAGTCATTTATTCCAAGGTGCCTGGTGCTAACTGTGTAGTCACACCAGATAAATAGCCTAAATTAACTCATATTGTTATGTTGTGTATTTGTAGTAGTTCGTTTGTTAAGAGAAACCAGATTAGTTAAGCGTTCACATTAGTATTTATATTGCTAACAGTTTACTGACATGTCTGTGGCTGTTTTCAGCAAATGGGAGAAATCGTTGGTGTCAGATATTCCCGACATCTCTGACTGGAAATGCGAGTTAGATGTTGATGAGCGGGTTTTCCCATTCGAATGATCGTAATTACGCTTTAAACGATGTAACATGAACGCAGCATTAGGCTCTTAGCTTGTAGCCGGTGTTTATGTCGACGTGTGCACGCCAAGAAGTCCAAGCACCTCGCGGGAGCGCGGACAACGAAATACACAATTATCCGATGCTTTATTGATTTCTGAGTAGACTGACGCATCAAGCTTCACTTGATCAGAATGATGACAGTTTAGCTGCCTATATCACAAAAATAAAATGGTTCAAATGTGTTATATAACACATTTAAAAAAGAAAATTCCGGGTAAATGTAGTCTGATATCAGACTACATTTTCTTTTTAAAAATGACTCATTAGTATATTTTAGGAGATTATATCTATAAGAAAATACGAGATAGGAATGCCTTGATTAACTTATTCTGATAAAAGGGAATTTACTGGTGAAAACAAATTGGATGCTGACATGAACTTTTTTCCACTAGCTGCTCGTAATTACAATTTAAAGAAAAACACGCACATCAAAGTGGAGTCTCAAAGAAGTGAGTTTACAGAGGGTTAGGGTTAGGGTTAGCCTGCTCCTCATATCTGCTGGAGGCTATTAAGGCTCAAGGCTACATTAACAGCTATTAGCATAACACAAATAACAAGGAAGGAGAACGGAAATTATGGTTAAAAATTCGGATCCTTTTTTTGGTTTGACTCTTATTTGTTTTATTAATTCGTTTTCTGTCATTGTTGTTCTTTTTCATTTTCTATAAACTGTCAACTGTGTTTACTGAATATATGAATGTGAGTATAGTTAATTGGGGATGTAGGCTACTCTTTTAAGTGACAGAGATTAATGCAAAAACCTCTTTGTCCCCGTTTACTGTTTGTAAAATTTGCAGTTTGTATGACAGGCTGACACACAATATATCCACGATACTCTGTAGCCATGCATTTTTTCTAAAAATGCATAAAGAAATATGTGTTTCTGTCTCTAGTTTCAGTTACAATGTGGATCCATCTGAACGCTTTTTAGGTATATTATGGAGTATGAACCTCTAGAGAATTATCATCCAAATAAGAAGTTTTACTGAGCGTTTTACTCTCGTTCAGCCTTTTAGTTTACTACTTAATTTTAAAGTTAAAACCTTAAGTTTTGTATGGCAGCCATTACTTTATTGTAAGGTTCGGTGTCACTGCTGTCACTACTTTCTTTTCAGCAGCAATAAGCAGACATTTTCAGTAATCTCTGAGCCCACTCTATACTTCATGCCAGGCAACAAACGACAACAAGTAGCGCATGGATTAAGTTTGGATTTGTCATGTGGACTGAAAGATGATTTCCATGGGATGATGATGTTGCTCTGCGTTTCCAAGGTGTATAGTCATATAACAGCTATAACAACTCTGTAAGTCTATGAACGTGTCGATCAGTTTTTTTGGTGGGGTTTTTAGTTTGCCCCCTAGTGGCCAGTGTTGGTTTTTGCAGATTGTAAGGACGTTATCAGACTGGCTTTTCTCTCTACTTTTCTCACATGAATGTCAAAGTTAAGGCTACCTTTGTTGTATGTTGTTAAGCTCCTGCTCTGTTCTTGGGTTGAGTTTACACTACAGTTCTGTATCTGTGAATATGTGTAATTTACCCCTCTTTTCAGCCAAGAGTGAGGTAAACCTGTTCAGTCTCATCCTTTTTCATTCAGTGAAAGTTTGAACGATTGAAAAATGTGTCAAAATGACTTTTCTGACCTACAGCTTAAGTCTAAAGCTTTAATAAGCTGCATAAAAGCCATTTCTCTGGGACATCTTGACCTGACACAGTTTATAGACCACTGCTGATTGGCGTCACTGTCGTGCAGACCTGACAGATTTCTCTGACATGTAAACTGTACCACCGCGTTTCATCAGGTCCTTCACACGCTTCCAGTTATATGGAACTGTCAGCCCCTACCTCCGCCTGCCCCCTATTTATCTGGCCCTTTTCTGTCCCCAGCTTGTGTCTGTGCATACTGCTAGGCAACACTATCTCCAGGGTTTATTTAATTTCCATGAATGTCATTTAGAATTTCTCATAATTCACTACTGCGGGGTCATCTGCCAGAGGATTTAATCTGAGGGTGACGAACGGTCCTTCCCCTGGCTGCAGTCACCGCTCCAACCGCTCTGTAGCTCATTAATTTCCTGCCAAAATATCAGCCTCTGTCGTAGCCGACAGAATGTGGGATGGAGGAAGATCATATTTCATTATTACATTAATCAGACCCACATGCAGACACGATTGTAAATCAGGTGGGAGGTGACATTAATCCTGCAGAACCAGTTTGTGAATACCCTGAAACCCGTCTTCGGGTGTTGCAGTCAATTTATTCCAGTTTTATATACAGTGGGGTCCAAAAGTCTGAGACCATTTTCCCATTCAAGTTTATGGTAAAGTGGTCTCAGATTTTTGGGCCCCAATGCATTTGTTCTCCTCTTGTTCAATTCAAAAATGAATCAGACACTACTGTTATACTGTGAAATGCTATATGCACTACTTGCAAATGCTTGCAACCTTTTCTGGATGTTATGTAGATTTAGGTTGGTGGCTGGTGGCTGGTTGCTGGTTGCTGGTTAAAAGCCTGGTGTAAACGAAGTGTTATCAAAAACCTGATTTCTGGCAGAGCGATACGAGTCTGCAGTTTCCTTCCTGGTCAGTTCATTAGAAATGATCAAAAGTGCCTCAGATACTGATCACCACTAGTGGTAAATAAATAAAAGTAAGCATATCTCTTGTCAGTGATTAAAGGAAGCAACCACAAATAGTTCTAAATTTCAAACAAAAATTAATTCACTTTTATTTCATGTCCTCTATGATGATATACTTTGTTGTGAACAGTAACCTTTATCAAGAGCTGTACTGTACTCAGCACTACTGTGGAAGAGCAACTGATTTTAGGTGGTTTTGTCCTCCATTCTTATTGGCTGCCTTTCTTGCACAGACACTTTAACTCGGCTCTGCTTGCATGCAATAATTTGCTTTCACGTTTTTGTCTAACAGTTGATTCGAAATGCCATTTCACCACATTTGAAATTCATGTCCTTCTCAATTCAATCTTGAACCATTTGTAAATACTGTAATATGGGACTGTTTGTGGTGACCTATACTATTACTAATGGAAAAAAAAGATTTGGTCCAGATGTATGGCTACTACTATTGTAGTATGAAAAATAATGATTTTATTATTATAATTATTATTATTATCATAATTATTTATATTTCATAGAAGTTACAGTTGTAAGAAGTGGCTATTTGCAGTCTTTTGTTCCCTGCTCATTTTGTTATCATTTACTCCCTGGTCACATTTTGCTTACTGTGTAATCAAATGTGAATATGTGCTGTCAAGATGTTTTTTTGTGAAGGGAAAGTGCAGTGTGAGCAAGATTAGAGAGAAGGAAGTAGCAAGTGACAGAAAGCATAATTAAGGAAATGTGTTGGATGACTTATCAAAAAAGGCACAGAAGTGCTTGGTTAGTACTGTACCAAAAACAATAGTCATTGCTGGCTTGAAACTTCATGATCCAGTGCCAGACATGTTTGACTTTTTTCTGTTACACAGAATAGTCCATTTAACAGATTTTCATCACTTTGCATTACTTTGAGAATTTTTACAACCTTTGTGATCAAGATAAAATTCTATTTACACGTAAAATAACACTTTCAGGCAGTGTCTCGTCTTGCCTGGACTATTACAGTTATTAATTGTGTCCCATTGTGCACTGTCCATTGTGTTACTGTGGCATCCCATTATTCAACAGTTTGTTACTGTGGGCTATTTATGACATCTCCAGCTGAGTAGATGTTGCTGTGGGAGATTCCATGGTACCTTTGTGGAGTGGCTTGCGGCAGAGTGCAGCTGTCAGTCTTTTCCGAAACACCTTACACAAGAACACGTAGATAAGTGGATCCAGACATATATTAGTGGCCGATAGCCACAAGGTGGTCTCCTTAGCAATGTACAGTGCTTGGCAGTGACTTGCTGTGCTACGGGTCTGAGTCAGGGTGTAGGGAACACGAGCAAAGTGAAAGGGGGCAAAGCAGATGAAAAACACCCCCACCACCACAAAGACCTTTGCCTTTGTTTTCCGACTGGCTGCCTGAGATCTGCTCTTTGAGGCTTTGTATGACTCATAAACCTTCTTGCTGATGAACGTGTAGCAAACCACCATCAAGGCCAGAGTGCCCCAAAAAACCACCTGCAGATGTACATCAACAAAACATTAAGCAAGGCACTTGGAAAGACTTTCTCATAACTTTTCTCACAAATAATTTCGGTATCTTCCGTAAATGTGCAGATGTCACAGTGCAAATATATTAAAAGAAAAGTTCAACATACACTTATTCCCTTTCTGGCTGAGAGTTAGATGAGAAGATTTAGACTACTCTCATGTCTGTACAGTAAAAAAAATGAAGCTATGGCTATCTTACGTTACCCTATAGGCACAGCTAGCCTGTCTCTGTCCAAACAAATCCAGATACCTGCACCTCTAAAGCTAACTAATTAACATGTTAAACTATATCATGAAATCAAAGTGCAAAAATGATTAGTTGTGGTTTTTGTCAATGCTCCCCACCAAAAAATAGTCCACCACATAACTCCAAGTAAAACCACACTTCTTTTGTTTTTACACTTCAGTCTATGGATTAAACCAACCTGATATAACATGTTAATTTGTGAGCTGCAAAGGTGCTGGCAGGCCTTTCAATAGTGCCAGGCTGACTCCAGTCTTTATGCTAATCTTATCTGACCAGCTTTTGGCTCCAACTTTATATTAAATGTACAGGTGTGAGAATGGTATCGATTTTCTCATCTCACTCTAGCAAGAGTAATAGCTGCTAGTAATTAATAGCTACCTGACAGAAGTAGTTGAATCCCTCATGCCACATCAGGCCGGCTTTGCTCTTCATGGAGGAGCACTTCAGTTTGCCTCCAGTGACCCGTGGTGGCTGGTCGCTTAGAATAACGTTGGGTAATGCTAAAGATAACATTACCACCCAGACAGATGCACTCAGCACCTGGCCAACACGGACCCGCTGCAGGACACACTTCCCAAAAGGCCTGACTATTTTCAGGTAGCGGTCCAGGCTGATGAGGCCCAGCAAGAGGATGCTGATGTACATGGTGATGTAGAAGAGAACCGCAGAGTATCGGCAGTGGAAGGCGCGTAAATGCCAGGAGCCCACACCTGCATCACTTAAGACTCTCAGAGGGATGGTCAAGGTCATCAGCAAGTCAGCCACCACCTGTTGTTGAAGGATCATGTTTGTTTTTTCATTTTCTTGCTTCACAATGAAAGTATAATTCTATAAAGCCTTCATTCCTTACCACATTTTTTAGAAAGACCACAAATGTTGAGGTGCTGGGGATGCTGAAGAAGATCCATGCAGCCAGGGAATTGAGTATCATGGCAGCTATAAACAGGATGCTGTACAGACTTGGGAAAACCACAGCTGTTATGCTGGTATCCCGAACACACTTGATGGATGAGTTAGACAGGGTGGTGTTCATCTTCGGTGGACCTTAGGAAGGATGGGGAGAGAGGAGAGATGAGAGACGTTATTTAAATATATACAGTAACTATATTATTCAAAGAAGAAACACGGTAATACACTGTTTTCAGAACATACACATCTAAAGATTATAACATTGTTTCTGTTGTAATCATTTTCTGGATCCCCCAGAAATTCTGTAACAGGACTGTAGTTGAGCAGCTTGGGTTATTAGATTAATCTTTCAAATATCTAGTGTCAAGAATTAAGTCTGAAGGATCACGTATCTTTCCGTCTTTCAATTCAACAAGTAAAGGACATTTTATGCCACTTTCAGGGGCATACAAATATTTTTTTCTTATACAACCAGTAAATACAGTGTAACCGGTGCATTTCACAGCATTTAGACACAGGGTCATTCAGTAGAATTGACCTTTCCCACAGTCACTTCATACTGCTACGACCACCAGTTTAGTTTAACAATAACAATGCAAAGACAGATTTAACATACAGCACTGACGACATCCAACAACTCACTGCTGCGTTTGTTCATTCTGAATTCACCTCTCGTCTGAGAGTACATCTGTCTGCTGTCTTTACATTGAAAACCTTAACAGCTTAGAATAACACTGAGGCCAGGAGCAGGTGCTATGGGAACCAGCATATGTAATACTCTCAAAGCGTCTGTCTGTTTCAGTGTGCATAATGATGTTAATTAGGTCTGTTAAAACTATTGTTACACAAATTCTATATCTCTGTGCCCAGTTGAGATTAGTGATGTATCTAGAAGAAGCCAATAATTGAGTCTTACCTTTTTGTGTCCTTATCGTCTGTGACTGTGCAACATGTGAGGAACAAAGAGTAAAGGAAAGAAAAACTACACTATTACAAAAAAAAGGAAGAAGTGAAATGTCCAGTTCCCCTTTCTGCTTTTTATCAACAGGAAGTAGATGAAACAAAAAAAATCCCAAAATTGAAAGGCTCTTGGTGTTAGTTTAGGTCTTTAATCAATTAAGAAATACTACTTCTGACCTAAGGAGGTTTCAGTCTCTCTCTCTCTCTCTCTCTCTCTCTCTCCCCCCCTCTTTAAGTGTGTGTGTGTGCGTTTGATGCTCTTACAATGGGTGGTCTCTGGAGCTACTGTGTGGCTGTCTTGTCACAATCCCAATGAATTTGCCAGTCTTCCTCCGGGTGAAAGACCCGTTCCTTCCTTGCTTCCTGTTCCAATTGTCTGCAGAGAGGCTTGTTCTGCTCCGTGCCAGTCCTCCTGCCTCCGCTAACTTGCGTCAGTCGCAGTAGCTGTTGACAGGCGAACACTAAAGCCCTGGACTCATTTCTCGACCCACATCTAGAGACCTCCTGCACCCCACTGCTCCTCCCTCCACCCTGCAGCTTATTTATCACCTCTATCTGTCTGTCTTTTCTCATCAAGACTTGGTCCTCTTACCACCAACAACCAGAGGTACATATAGTAGTACATAGTACATAGTACATATATTTTTGTCATGTTTAATATAACTACCATCAAATACAACATACAAGTACATTCCCTTCTACTCCTATCTTTTTTTTTCAGTTTTATTCCCTTTTGTGCTTTCTTGCTAAAAATAGTGTGTTCTGAGAACACAACATGATTTCCTGTGTCATATTGCTTGGAGCTGGGCCAGGAATTATGACATGAGAGAAAAAGTAGCTGGAGAAGTGACACTTAAGTGAACTTAGAAATTGCTGTTTAATCACAATATGTTTCATTGTAAATTATACTTGTGTTTTCCAAGAACTGTGGGCTGTAAATTCTAAGTAATAATCATAAAAAACTATTTCGACAAAAGAAAACAACTTCATTCTTAGTTTCAGTTACATCGCATTGTGCCACAATATAAACCCCACATAATCACATTCGTCAGTAGTCATGTGGATAACAAACTTATCAAATCCTTTAGAAACTGTTGACTGGTGAAAAAAATTTGCTTTCTCAGCTGGAATAAAGGGACAAGTTGATTCTAGATGTGGTTTGTTTTTGAAACTTAAACAAGGCCGAGCAGAATAATGCCTCAATTTTGTGTTTATTTTTGTTTACTACCGGCAGAAGATTTACAGCTTGTTTTACAGCTTTCCACATTTTTATAGAGGAAATACAGGAAAATCAATGCAGTAAAAATATATCAGTACAGTAAATCTGACTTGGTCCTTTTTTTTCTCTTTTTTACGACCATCCATGTTGACCACTGATAAGCATGCCACAAATTGTTGACACAAGCTGATAGACACATTGCACATCTGCAGAACTCCATTAAAGACATGAGCCATTTTACTGTTACCACAAACATTATAAGACTTCAGTGTGAGATGCAAATGTTAACTATACATACTTAACTTGTTTTGCATGGCAGCTTGATTTACATCTCTTTCTCTTTCCTTCCTCTTTTCTCTATTTGCCTGCTGATTTTGAACCTCCACAGCTACTGTAGAAGCGTGTTTTGTTCACATATAAACAGCATAATAATATCCTCCCCTTGTCTCATACTGCTTATCACACCCGTTCCTATTCTACTTCCTGTTTGTAGTTTTCAAGCTATCTAGAACCACACATGACACATACAGCACAGCAAACTTCAACAAGGATTATAGAATGTAAAAGCAGTAAATAGCAAAATGTTAATAAATACGTGAAACAATAAACCAAGTCTAGAAATTCTGCAGGAACATCTGAGCTCACTCTTTATCATAAAAAACTTCATGACCTCAGTCACTCACTTAGCCTCTGCTTTGGCTGCTGAAGACACTTTAAATGAGACGGAGATATTTTTCATCATAGATAGCAGTTTCTCCTTGAATTCTTGACACAAAAAGACATAGAGAAGTGGGTCCATACAGATATTTGTGCTGACAAGCCAGAGGCTCAACTCCTTGCCAAACTTACTCTCTGAGTAAGGGCATGAACTTTTGGAATTTTTGACTTGTTGAAAAGTGTATGGGATCCTGACAATGTGGTACGGTGTGAACGATACAAAAAACACAATGACAATCATAAAGACACGTAGTTTTATCTTCTGCTTTCCCTTCTTGTTATTGCTGCCAGATTTTCGAAAAGACTGTATAACCTTGTTGGCGATGCAAATGTAACAAACTACAATGACCACACTGATGAGCCAGAAGAGAACGTTCAGGTAAATCACAACCATTTGATGAACTTCAAGTCCAGCTGGTCCTTTAAACTTCATACAAGTGCTGGGCTTTGTCATATTGGCTACTGATTGGTTACTTAAAATATTTGGTAAAGCTGTGCCTCCAAAGAGTACTAGCCAGACTGAGCCACATATCAGTTTGCTAAAGGTCAGATTCTGACCAAACAGCTTGCTCCGGGGTATCATGATCTTGAAGAAACGGTCCAGACTGATAAGGCCCAACAAAGTAATACATGTGTACTGTGCACTGTAGAAAATGGCTTTGAAATAATTGCATGAAAATTCAAATAATGCATCAGAAGCACCTGACAAGTCACTTGCAGCTTTGATTGGGATAATCAAGGTCATAATAACGTCAGCAGCTACTAGATTTTTCAAGTACACCACCAAGGTGGAGGTGGACTTGAGGTGCAGGGACACCCAGGCTGCCACACTATTCAGCGACAACGCTATGGGAAACATCAAAAAGTAGAGAATTGGGACAACGTTTTTCATGTACATGTAACTGTCACACTCGGAATTATCAGGAGACATCTGAGTCGATTGCATCACTGCACCTGAGGAGAACACACAGAACCCACCGTTGTCAAGAACAGTAGGTTATATAGTAACTGACTATATTTTAAACGGATAGTCCTGCTGAATATGCACAATATTATTTGAACAGTTCATTATTTGAACAGTGTCCCATAGTGACAGAACAGAAAAATTATTTGTCTGGCCTAACTTAGTGTTTTTTCCTTCATGTAAAATCAGGGGTGTGGCTTTTGTGCGACTCACTCTGCTGGTTTCTGTCAAAGCGAGGACCCATCCATCCATCCAACATCTGTCACCTGTCAGAGTCAGAGTTGAAGGCTGAGTGAAGTAAAGGGAGTGTGTTGTTTATTGTGTTCCTTCTGACATAGAAATGTAAATGAATATGTTTGTTAGGCAGACTTTTTATTATAAATGTTTCCATCATACATTTATACATTTATGCTTATTCTCCAACTCTTATATTTAGTGTTATATATAGGCAATACTGCCATGTCCCTGATTTTCTAACTGTTAAAAAAGTAAATAAATGATTAAGTGTAAATATATTTGAATAAAAATTCAGAATGAGTAGGTATATTATAGGCTTACCTGTCGTGGCACGGCTACTTGTTTTTTCAATTGACTTTACAAGGTAGAGCGGATAAAGAGGTCACTAATTCAACTCATTAAACACATAGAAATCTTAGAGACACATAGAGATCAGAAATTAGTGTGACTAACTTTCAAAGTAAAACAATATCTCTCATGCGTTACTCTCTGTGCAGAACACAGAGCTGACATTTTTTTCCTAAACTTAAATGAAAACCATAGCTTTACAGTATGTCTTAGCTGTGTAAACAGTTGGTTTTAGAAATAAAAAAAATGCAATATTGATAGATATTTATTGATTTAGACTTTTCATAATGATGCTGTTACTTTTGGAAACATACTATCCTTGTCTTGTAGTGAATTCTATGAAGTTTTGTAAAATGACTAAAAGATTTTAAAAGATTCAACTGAATTCAACTTAACCTACCATAGATCAAACACTATAGATTGTGAACTAATGATGAGATTAAGATACATTTTGATAATAACTTACAGTTGATGACTTGACCCACTCTTCTCAACCTTAAAGTTGCAAAATGAACCTGTGTGACAATAGTACTGACATGGTAGGTGTTAAAGAAACACTGTTGATTTTCCTAACAAACAAATCAACATTTCAGCTGTGATGAGAATGGCAATTCATCAGAACATATGCAAAAATAGGAAAAACCTACTGGTCTTTAGACAAAAGCAAAACAGGACGTCATACATTCGAGTTTGGATGGGGTGAAGGCTTACTGGATTGAGGTTGCATCGTGCCTCCTCTGGCCTACACGTGTATCTGAGAAATCAATACCCCTGTCTCACCTTTGACCCTAAGCTGAGCAAAGGAGACATTTTTGGTTGTTTACAGACAAGAGCCCTCAACCTGAACACTGCATGTTTGTGCCATTTGCATAGAAAAAGTTCATATTGTTGACATGCTGCTAGATGAAACTGTTGTCCTAGATCTGAGCATCACGTGGAAAGCTAAATATGCATCATTTTTTCCCCCCACTTACCATCACTGTCTCGCACAAACAAAAAAAACGTTCCCTTGAGACACATCGTAGCAGCGAGTGATAATTCTTTAAAAAGCAAAGCAGATCCTGTTTCTCTCTTTTTGTGCCCTTCATTTGTTTGTGGTTGTCTTTTTGTTACTTGGGTGACTTTGCCTATTGATTCGCTGATTGATGGATTGCACCAGTTATTGCAGGAGTTCTGCAGGAACTGATACAGTGGCATTGGTCTCAGTTAAAACCGACCAAAAAATCCTACAGCTCCTACTGGAGCTTACTGTCCACTTAAAAAGAAGAAGGTCAATAGCTGTCAAGAACATGTATCCTCTGCGGGGCTTCACTTTCATTTCTGGCAAACCAATTAAACATATTTGGTAAATTGTAATAGTAGTTTAAATGATTGTTGCGGTGTAGTCTGCAATATTGTGGGGCATTGGTATTTAATTCAAATTTTTAATGCTGCTGTTTGGCAGCTCTGAGGAGGATACTGTTGAAAATACTAATAGTTTATTACTTAGAAAGCAATTAAAGTTAATGAAATCATTTAACGAGGCCATGAAAAACAGAATATAAGAAATTCATTCAAATAAAAGAAATGAACTTTTGGCAAATGCTCTGTGGCAGGGAAGTTACTGAATATGGATACAGGATTTACAAGAATTGTTGTGGAAAGATTTATGTTACCATTTAATTAAGCCCTTGAAATAATAGACCAAAGCTATGTCGGGTGCAATTACTGTTTATTGTTCTTTTGTGCAGAAAAATATATTTTGAGTGCACATTTTAGTAATGTTTCACAGACAGTGGCAGTAATAATGATGAAAGGGGGTAACATGCACATAAACATTGTCCCTCTTATATTATTTATCATTTATTTTTTTATTATACTGTTCATTTATAACCTCCCCTAAAAACCAACAGGAGACAAGGCTGTTACATTATAACTGAGACACTCGGGTAATGGTGGGACTATATCTGCAGTGACCCCATCACAGAAAAACAAAACAAAAGATGACTTCAAACTCAAATGTATTAATAGAGGGCTCACAGTAACACCTCAGTATGGGATTCAAACAGTGTTGCATTATGAATACTTGAAAGAAAGTAAGAAAGTGTATTTCATATTTATCATGTTTTTTTTTATTTACCTTGTTTCTACCTTGTTTCTCTGAGTACACATTTAGCTTCAGTAGATGCTAATCTATGCATTAGGGCACTAGAGGGCAACATAGGGCAACAGTACAACATGGCATCTAAAGATCAAGAGTCTCTCTTGCTTCCTGAGTTACTCATTTGTGATATTTATGACTACAAACATCTTATCATATCTCCAACTTCTTAAAGGTGCTAATTTTGATGACTCACGTCATCCAGGAAGCTCCATATTTCAATCATCCTCATTTTCACCTGAATGTAACCCAACACAGATCCCTCTAGCTTTCACCATGTCAGCCAGTTTGACTCTGTACTCCCTACACAGATAGATGTAGAGAAAAGGGTCCAGACAGGCATTGGTGGTAGAGACCCACAGGGCCAAGTGATGAACTATCACCAACCACCTTTCAGTGCACACCTTAACGTTAAAGATTTCATACAGTGTAAAAGGAATGCGCATTATGTGGAGAGGCACAAAACACACAAAAAACACAAGGAGAATCAAGAAGACTCGGAGTTTGGTTTTCTTCTTCCCTTGGCTGTTGTTGCTCCCAGAGTTTCTGAAGGACTGCAGGACTTTCATGGTGATGCAGATGTAGCAAAACACAATCAATATGCTGATAAGCCAGAAAAGAATCTCCATAAATACAACCACACACTTGTGAAGTGTCAGACCCACTGGGCTTTTCAGGGACATACAAAAATTCCCTGTCATATTAATAGGATCCTGGTTAGTTAGAATGATGGTTGGGATCGCTGTGCTGCCAAATATCACCACCCAAACCAAGGCGGACATCACAAGACTGAACGATACATTCTGTCCTAGCAACTTTCCACATGGTCTAACAATTTTGAAGAACCGGTCCAGGCTGATGACACCCATTAAAGCAATGCTTGTGTACATGCAGCAGTAGAAAATGACATCAGAGTAACGGCAGGCAAACGCCCTCAGCTCAACTGTTGCTCCAGGAAGCATGCTGGCCGCCTTCAGCGGGAGTGTCAGAGTCATGAGCAGGTCAGCAGCCACCATGTTTTTAAGATACACGATGAAGGTAGAGGTGGAGCGGAGGTGCAAAGACACCCACGCTGCTACCCCGTTGAGCAGTAACGCAATGGGGAACAGGAAGAAGAAGAGGTACGAGAAAGCCACATTTACAGTCACAAGGCTGAAAGTGGCACAGTCAGAGGAGAGGTGTGAGATGTTGTTGGTCTCCATCTTAAAATCTGGAATTAAAAAAACATGCAGACATCAACCCTTTAAGCTTTCTAACCCTGATCTGGTTTATGTCGGTGATCAGATCAAATAACATTACAGTTTCAGGCTGGATTCCTCAAAAGCTGAGGGCTTTTAGAATAAATGATTGGGTGAAAGTCTGAGGTCAAGGGGGCAGAGTTTTGCCAGACTTGGCCCCTGCTTGGTCGTCATTTGAGACTGAAACTACTGCTGCTCTGAATTTTTCCAGTTTGCCCAGTTGGATCTGATTTGCGTTTATCATTTGGTTAAAAAACATTTGTTACTATGATTTGTCAAAGCTCAACCAAAGCATTTGAATGCACCCTGTATGCTGAAATTGACACTTCCACTTTTGACACTGAATCAGGGAAGTTATGCAGTTTTTGGATTTGTTTTCACCACTGTGAATACAACAACAAAAGAGTGGATTTGTATTGTTCTTTTTCACATATTATCAGGCTGAATACACTACACAGAATCTACCAGATTTTAGGGACATCTTTCTGATATTGAGGTGCAGTCCCCTCTGCACAACAGATCTCAGTTGCTTCACTGCTTATTTTACTTCTTTGCTTCTATTTGACAACTTTTAATTTGGATAGGATAAATGTAATCACCGAGGGTTTGACCTGGATTCATCTAATCAGTATATGCAATAAATAACTTTATACATTCAGTGTCATTTAAAGACTACAATTATCAGTGAATGTAAGGAGACTGGGTTGTAACAGTAATGACCTGGTATCAAAGAAACAGCAAATGCCTGTTTGAACTATATGAATCTGAGCTGGAAAGCTATTTTAACACTTCTGGGAAATAAACTTGATAGAATTAAGACACACACACATTTATGACCATTACATTGTGAGAAAGTTTACTGACTGGGCCTAAATCTTCTTCTCAGTAACACACATGCACAGAAACAGTTCAATAAACCAAATCTAAGCCATGCTGAGGTGGTCTTGAGATTTTGCAGGTTCAGTCTACTGTGTGCTCTACATGCCTTCCTCTAATGAAATGATAACAGCCACATATCAAATTGTTTGATTCATTCCATGACTTGTCATTGTAATCTTTTTTTAGAAAGTTGTGTTTAAGCCACTCACCAAGAATGGTTATCTCCTTAACTCCGCACTGCACAGCCTGGGAGATGATGACCTTCACAATAGAAATTACAAATGTGTCAGCCTCATCAGCCGGACAGATGCAAATCTGTGAGCAGTGAGCTGTTGTGGGGGAAAAAGGGTTTCAAATAACATCCATTGTGGTACGCCATTTGTTTTCAGGCTACACTAAAGCAATTTCTGACTATGCAGGTTTCTTTGTTTCTACTGGATGAGATGTTTTAAACTTAAATGGTCCTCTTTTCCCAACCTGTTAGAGATAGGATTCTTTTTCTTTTCACCAGCGTGATGCTGCAGCATTGATAATGTAGTGATGATGTAGGATGTAGGCACTGTCTCTTACTGTTGGCTCACACTTTTACTACCACAACTAAAAACAGCACTATTATCTTTATGTTTATTATTATCATTAACTGTCTAGACACGATATATTTTGCACTTACCTAATGAAAGACTGTAAGAGACATATCACTCATGGTTAGATTTGGAGATGTGAAAAATGACACCTCTGACTAGAACTCATAAAGTGTATTTTGTGTATGTTGCCTCCTTTATCGTTGTCTTATTATGAAACTGATAGGCATGCATCTTTTGGTTAATGCGGTTGTAACAGAAGCCAGTAGGAAAATCCCTGTTATGTAAAGTCTGTCCTTGACTACTTTCTAATTCCTTCTGTGCTTTATCTGCTGTGTTGTATCCATGGACTTGATAAGTGAGGGCAACTGAACAAGAAAAACAAAATGACACCGTCATATGACGTCAGATGATTTATTTGGACACATTAACCTGCTGTGTGGTTTGATTATCAGTTCTAACACAAACATCAACCTCAACAATAAGACATGTCAGTGTACTGACAGGTGTTTATCTGTAGCCTAAGACTTGAGGTTTAGTATACAGGTCAATTATTTTAGATGAATACTGTGGTTGTCCTTAAAAGGAGATTCATTTTCAGCCTGTAAATGAATATCTATATCTATATATAAGAGTAATGGGCATGAAAAAACAGAAGAGAAACTTAATGGTGTTATAGAGAACAGAAAGGAAAACAATCAAAACAGCTGATTACTGTTAGTTACAATGCTTTGATTATTAAAGGCATGGCATTGTGATGATGATCATATCATGAACAGAAATATGTGCTATGGCCTTCACGTTTCATTTCTGCCTGTGGGGCAGACTGTGGGACAGACTGTGGGACTGCAAATGACAGAAAACACATGACCATGACTGTCACCTACTGTATGTCCTCTAAAGTTTAATCACAAAGCACAAATTGGATTTGAACCAATTTTCAACATTATTATCAAATACCACTACCACACTACAAAAGTCTTCATCATGTCCAGTGGTTTTATATACTGGCAGAGGAGTCTCTCAGAGGGGTGTTGCCTGTATCCACTTCTGACCCTCTCCCTGTCAGCCAGCTGCAGGTGCCAGGAGGCAGCTGCAGGGTCTTGAACAGAGTGGTCCTGAAGGACTTACAGAGGAAGAAGTAGATGAGCGGGTCTAGAACAGAGTTTAGGGATGAGAGGAAAAGAGTGCTCTCCTTCAGCTGAAAGAAGAAGAGCTTGAGTTTACAGTCAAAGACCTTTCGGGTCTGGCTTATAGTGTACGGCACACGGGCAAAGTGAAACGGCACAAAGCACACAAAGAACACTGCCAGAACCAGGAACACATTTGCATTAATTTTTCTTTTGGCCTGCTGGGGTGAGCGAGTCGTTTTCCTGCTTGGTGCCTGACATATTGTCCCTCCAGCGTTGTGGGACTTGGTGCGGGAGTAGGATTTGTACAGCTCTTTGGTGATTAGAGTGTAGCATACTACCACAGTCACCAGGTTGCCCCAGAAAATAACTTGACAGACATGATTTACTACCTCATGCCAAAGCAGCCCAGCCTTTGTCTTCAGGTCGCTGCACTTGAAGTGTTTAGAAGGCGGCGTTTTAGATGTCAGGATGACGTTGGGCAGACAGAGAACGAGCAGAAAGGTCCAGATGGCCCCTGAAAGGAGCTTCCGACGGGCCAGCCGGGATGCATTAGTCCCCTTAAAGGGCTTGAGGGTCTTCCTACAGCGATCAATGCTGATGAGGCCAAAGAAGAGGATGCTGATATACATGGTGAGGTAGAAGAGCACCGAGGAAACTCGACACACAAATATACGCAGGCCAATGGATGCCATGTTGGAGTCTGACAACACCTGGAGAAACAGAATTTTACTGTTAAACACCTGGCAACCAAAATGTTTGTTATGAATGACCTATAACAAATCTATTAGAAATGGTTTGATAACAATTAAAAAGCAATTAGTTATAACTTATGACCCCCCCTTTAAAGTGTGCCTTATTAGGAAGTGGTACCAGTTTAACCAAACCTTGAAAGGGAAGGAAAAGGTCATGATGACATCTGCAACCACAATATTCTTCAGGTATATGATGAAGTGAGACCGCGAGGGGATCCGGAAAAACACCCACATTGCCACGCCATTGAGTAACAGCCCCACCAAGAGGAGGACGGAGTAGAGAACAGGAAAAAACACTGTCTTCAAAATGTTGTCACGGGAACAAGTGATATTGGTGTGGCTGTGATTGCCAGGGAACTGGGGGAAAGGTGCGTTTGTCTCCATGAGCATTGTCTAAAAAATACAAAAGAAAGTTGTTTGCAAAAACAAACGAACAAACCAAAAACATTTCATCTTAAAGTTAGCTCTGATACTCTCCTAGAATTATTTTTTCATAAAATGTGAGTTACTTGTTTTAGTTTTTTAGTTTACTCTTTTTTAACTACATACAGTCCAGACCAGAAATAGAAAGATCTCAGGCTCTGAACTTCAGCACATTCAATTTAAAATAAAACATCAGGTAGCCAAGTATCAGTTTTAATTTGAGTGGGTTTATGTCAGTATCGAAAGAACTGTTGTATATAGATATAGCCTTTTTAAAGTTTAGGGGTTCAAAAGCAACTGGACAGATGAAGTCAAACAAGACCATCAAATTTAATATTTTGTGGTAAGTCCTCTGATTGATATCACTAGATGCTTTGTATCTTCCCTCACTGCAGCCATCCTCAGCTCTTGCTTGTTGTAGGGTCTCTCTGCCATCAGTCCGGTCTTCAGCGAGTACAATGCAGCTCAGTCAGGTTAAGATCAGGTTATTGATGAAATGTTGTCCAAGGGGTTTTGATGTATTTGGCTGAATCTGAGCTCACAGAAACCTCCTGTATACCTCTGCATTGATCCTCTTGCTCCCATCAGCAGGGAAAGCATCAATAAATGCCAGAGCGTCACTTCCATTGGCAGCCGTAACAGAACCACCACCATGTTTGACAGGTGAGGTGCTGTGCTCTGGACTATGAATATATCCTTATCTTTTTAAGTCCACACTTTCCTATTTTCATCATTTCCAGAGAGGCTTGATTTTTGGTTTCTTTTCGTAAGCGAGTAGCATGAATCAAGATGGCCGCAGCATGAGTGAGCTCAAGTGCCTGTCTGCACCTTCACCTGTAGCTCAGCAAAACATACCGATTCGTGGCACGACGGCTGTATACTGATCGGCACAATAATGGCACCGGATTAACAGTACCAGCGCTCCCTTACAAACTTTATGGGATGGTATACAACAGATCGAGACTGATATGGTCACTCATCTGTATTCAAAGGTGGATCTGATCCAACCAAAACGAGCAGCGTTTACATGTCCCTTGATACTCTCAGAGAACACGTCTCCTTATTAGAACAATGAATCGGGGCAAATGAGGACTAATTACTGGTTCGGACCGATGAACTGACTAAGGATAACGCCTACCTGATGGACCAGTTTCGGGATCTGGAGAGGCGAAAGCAGAGCGTCCCGTCTTAGCTTTCTTAAGATTCCTCAATCCGCTGAGGGCCACGACATTCTTGGCTTCATGTCCTAACACAGGTCCTCTGGCGAGAAAAGTTCCCCACTCCTCCGGCCATGGAGAGGCCGCACCGCACGCCAACTTTCCTTTTACAACAACAGGGCTGACCCAAAGCCTGACCTGCTCTACCGGCTCAAACTTCTCCATTTCCAGGACAAGGTGAAAGCTCGGCGTCTTGCCAAGGAGAAGAAGGAGCTGCTGTCTAGAGGAAGGCTACTCGCATCTACTATAAGAAGTTTTGTTGTTTTGATATTGTAAAAAGAGAGACTCAGGGAGCTGAACTAAAATACTCTCTCAGGTGTCATTGTTGATGACTAACCTCAACGGTCCACATGTCACAAAGCCGCTGAAGCTGCCTTCATGTCCACTACAAACTCTCCATCATAAAATCTGTAAAGCAGAATTTAAGACATTTGAATATCTCCATCTTTTTGCATGTGGTCGTCTAAGCTTAAGCCGTTAATTAACTGAACGGCTTGATTTCCTGGCTGCTCCTTTCTTCTTCTACTTTTTCTTTATCTTGACTCTTTGGGTAACCAGTTAATCCAGGAATGTATTTTTCTAATTTGATGAATTACCTGCTGGAATATTTTCAAGTTATCTGTTGTTGAAAACTAATTTGTTTGTTTACTTCCTGTGTCGTAAAACCGCAGCGCTGCTCTATTTACAGCTGTTTTCAGTTGTTTGCGGCCGCTGCCACCCTGCCCAAATGCTGATTGGGAAACATACAGGCAATTTATGCAATTTATTTATATTTATAAATATATTCAAGACATTGACCTACAATGCTAAATCTAAGTATTATAAAGAATGTCTTTCTAATGATTAAAAAAAAATCCCAAACAGTTTTGGAACACCATAAAATCCATAATAAACACCTCCAATAAATGTCATCCATCTACATCCAGGAGAGCATTCTTGACTTGCTGTGCAGTCATAAAGGGGTTTCTCTTCACCATACAAATGATTTTCCACTCATCCTGATCTGCCAGTTCTTTTTACCATTTTCTAGTTTTACTGAGTTGTTTTTTTTTTTAAACTGTTGATTTTGGCAAATCAGTTACCTTTGATATGTTTTCGATTGAATTTTTTGGAACCTCATTATTATCTTCTTCACATACACGGTCGCCTCGTTACTTGGCATGTTGACAGACATCTCCACCTTAAATTCTTCATCAAGTCTGAGCCACATGTCAGTTTTAATGTTGAAACAACACACAGTTGCACAAGAAACACAAGCAAAGTGTCCACTTACTTTTGAACATTTGCAATTTGGGCTCTATATGTTAAAAGGTCTATATCTCCCACATAGTCCTTTCAAAATAGTTGCAAACCTACTAAAATTAAAGCTGAGACATGGCACTTTAACGCAACATCCATTATTTTATTTCAAACTGAATGTGCTGAAGCTCAGACATATTGTTCACACAGTTTATGTTGAGATGTGTCAATAAAAACCACTGAACAACATAATATTCCTGAAAGCAGCTGGTTGATTACACTGACAGTACATCTGATTTCCATTCCTTTATGTAAACTGTGTTCAGCAAAATCTGCATAAAGTGTTAAGCAAAATCTAGGCATAAAATCAAAGTGAAGTTTGCACAATCATTTGCACAATTTTTAAATAAATTCTGCACATTCAGCCTGATTTACAGTGATAGATACAAGTTGAAGTTTTGTAACTGACCTGTTAATTTTGCTGATATGTGTCAGTGAAATCCCAGTGCAGCTCTTATTGCAGCTCCTGCGTCTGTATTCTGCAAAACTGTGATCTGATACTGTCCGTTTGACTGTGTAAGTGTGTATAGTTTTGTGATACACAACTACCAGGAAGACTTTCTCTTTGCCTTCTCCTTTCAGTTTCCTGTCACATGGAAGGGCAGTGGGCTGCATTTGTAAATACATTTGAACAGACAGAGCTTTCACTTCAGTTTATTAATTGACTGCTGAGGGTGATTAATTTGGAGCAGATAAACAGCAAGTTAAACACAAGCAAAAGAAATCTTATAAACAGCAAATAGGCAAAGCCAAAACAGCCAAAGCATCGATCAAACATTTAAAATGGTCACCATCATCTCCTGAGCTATTGTTACACATGTATATTTAATAATGGATTTGGAAGGATAAGAAACTATATGTAACTCATTATTCAATAATGTGAGGAGCTAATGAGCTTCCTCTTATTCACTTCCTCCAATTTTTGCAACCATTGTGTAATTTCCACTAAATTTCATGAAATACACATTACCAACAGGACATTATTCAGGGTAAAAATGACTCATTAAAACATCCTTTTCTTTATTTTCTATGAACAGTTTGTTCTTGAACTGCAGCCTGTCCCTGTGTGCACTGGGCAAAAAGCAAGAAAGCACTCAGACAGTCTCAAATGAGAATCACTTCAACACACATTTCATGGAGACAGGTATAACTATTCATAATATATCCCCAAATAGTTTAAATAAGGTAGCATGATTAGACTTTTGATGCAATATAATGGAGATCCTTTAAAAACAAACAGCTTGGAAGCATAGAGCAGTAATACCTTCTGCTCCACGGTGGAAAAAATATGAAACCATTTTTGGCAGACGCTTCACTAATATAAAACTTCCTAAGCGCTCTCAGTTTCAGATTTTGAACTCACTGCCTTCCCAGGTTTTGCCAGTGGCATCTCACCCTAGAGCCACTAAGCCACAGTCAAGTCAAGCCAAGTTGTGAAATGAGCAACTTAAATGTGTCCTTGCCCTCCAACCTCCCTCTCTTGGAGACAGAACATGAAGAAACTTCCCTTTCTTTTCCTTGTAACTTGTCTGTCATAGTGTATAGCAGACAGAGTCCACTCCAAAGTAAAACTTATTTATAAAATAGAGGATTTATCACATTGAAATAAACCTCTAGGAGTCTAGTATAAAGTCTAGAGTTGGTCTGTCAGATAGAATATGACAGGAAGACACACAAAGGAAGATTTAAAAGCCTTTTCAAAGGCATTTTGAAAATCCATTTGAAATTGAATGTATTTGAAAGTAGAATAATGACATGAGAATTATTTATTTGCACATTTATTGATGGTTGTATAAGGTTTTTACCCAAAATATATTTTTAATAGTATCACTTAGATGTAAATAAAACATTTTTTTTTTATACACTTTATTTATTTATTTTTTGATAAAAAAAAAACAACCAAACAAACAAACTAAACTAATGAAAAATAAGGCGCTGAAAAAGTGCAGAATGATTGACCAGCATTACTGGTGTTTAGAGAACAAACTCTAATCTTTGGCATATAGTCCATCTAATGACTGACTGTTACCCTGACTCTTGTATATATATTGTGACTGTACCATGTTGATTACCAAAGCTTATACAATATTAAACTTCTGCACTGGTAATAGTAGTTAGTGTTCTGTTGTTCTGTGTTTTCAGAATATCGTACTGTATGCGTTTATGTCCCTGGCTATGTTTTAGTTCATATTTCCCAGTGGAAGTGTGACAGTAGCTTCTTCCTATTTTTTTTAATTAAGACTTTAGAAATTGAAAAACAAAAAGTATCTACTTCTCTCATTATCACATGACCCTGATGGACCTCTGCCCTCCAGTCTCTCGAGTTAGCATGGCAATGCTGCAACTTCCTATGTCTGGGGCAAGGTTGGCCCAGTCAGCAGCTATCATTTCCTAAATCAATGCTCCTCTAGATGTCTGTGTCTTTGTGCATGAGTGAGTGTACATTTGCATGCTTTTGTGGTTGTTGTCACATTGATAGCGTAGTCTATATTCAGTCATATATTGTACGTGAGGCCAGTTTCTCAACCTTCCATATTAAACGCAGTCATGTTTCCCACAGCTGTGATCTCTGCACATCTGGGTCTGATCACTGCATCAAACATGCATTCTCCTGGAGAGGACTTCACAGCTACACTGCTTTTTAGTTTAACTCACTCACTCTATCTGTGTCTCTTAATGGTTACGCTTCTATTTTTCTGCTTTGCTTTCTTTCCTTCCCTTCGATTCTTTGTTAATTATCTGGTCTGATATGATTTGGTCAAATGGTCGATCAGTTTTTGAAATGATGTACCGTGCTGTTATTTTGATAATCAAGCTCTAAAATCAGCGCCAGTACAAGAGTCATAGTGTAATTCTACCTCTTGTGTTGATGTTTTAAATTTACATGAATCATTCACATGGAGGCAGAATCGAATAGTTTGTGAACACGCAGTTGCAGACACACAGGCAAAGTCGCATTACATACACACTTCACACACACACTAATCCTCGTCAGCCCCCTCTCAGACAGACAGGAAGAAGGGAATGAGGCGAGGAGGAAAAAAGAGTGTAACACAAGACTTGACTGAATTTCCATTTAAAGCCCTCTGAGCCTCCCCAGTCCAAAACACACACACACACACACACACACACACACATTTTCCCACTCTGTAGGTGCACTGCTTTCCTCACACGTCACCCCTTGACCTTTAAGTCACCACTCACTTTCTTCCAGTCCCCAGACCACAAGCGTACGGTTTCGCAGCTACTGTCATGCCAACAGAGTCCAGATAAACACTGTTGTTTCACCCTGTGCTGATAATGAGGCTGGAGAGTGGAGGGAGAAAAACTTCCATTTCCTCTCTGCACATGGGGTAATGCCTTTGAGCAAAAATAGCCTGTCTTTACTTAGCCTGTGAAGGGGCTTTTATCACAAGCATGAGTATGAGCTTAGAGAAAAGGTGATAGAAAGAAACCCTGGTGTCTGAGGGCAAACATCAAGCTAATAACAGACACAGAGCTGCCACAGCTGTGGTCTGAGGAGCCTGGTTGATCCGAGGGCAGGATGAGGCTGAACTGCGACCTTTGACCTTTACAAACAGTCATCGGTCGATCATTTTGTCACCCTGACAGGTAGAAAGACGTAAGGAAGGCACATTTTACCACATAGAGAGAGAGAGAGAGAGAAAGAGAGACATTCAGGGTGGTCCTTGTTGCTTGTGGTTTGTTTGTGCCTGTCTTTGTCTTTATGTGTGCATGTTTATGTGTATATACATTTCCTTTGGCAGGCTTTCACATTGGTTTCTCTTCACATAGTTGAAATGTGTGGGCCGCACTTTGTTTTGATAGTGTAAGGTTTCTTTAGCTACTGCTGCTGCTGGTGTGCTGTTCAGTGGAGGTTCCAGTGGGTCTGCCTCCCATATGGTTATCCACATTGACAAATCTAAGGCAGCACATGAGGAGGTGAAGAGGGCAACTAAAAAATAGCATGATCTGTAGTGTTTCAAGCTTTTATTGAGGGTGAAACCATTTTTATTGTCATGCACCATTGGAGTATAGAGCATCATTACACATTTATGATAAAAAAAAAAAAAAAAAAAAATTCTACTTGTCCTACTATAGCTGCTAGTTTTATTTCTGTTGGAGCATTGTGAGGGCTCTACACGGGTAATGGCTGATCTATGTGCATTCCTTAATTTCATATGAGCCCCATGTGTCCAGTATGGGTGTGTTGACTGTCAGCATCAAAACTGCGCACAAATACACGCACACACACACTCACACACACACACACACACACACACACACACACACACACACACACACACACACACACACACACAAACATCAGTGGGTCCAACTGGCTCCTGGGCTTCAGTTACTACCGGTGAATGATGTAGTTGATTCCATCCTCAGCTCCAGTTTGTTGCTCACACAGACATTTTCCTAGCAACTGCTTTTGTTTGGGTATTTCTACAAATCATTGCTCGCCTCTTGGGTCTGGCATACGCATCAGTGAACGACCTACTAAACTCTACCTGGCTTACACAACTGATCCTTTCATAAATGCATCCATTTGGACTCACGCAAGAGAGTTTCACCATTCACTGGGGGCTTTGTTCACCTTGGGACTGATAAAAAAAAAGAAGAAGAAAATAATGAGAATTTCACATAACATATGCATCCATCAAAATGTCAAAAAATTGAATATGTTTGGTTGCTATAGCAGTCTGTTTTACAGTGGCATTGCCTATAGTATGATGACTACTGTTTAAATGATAAATAGCATTAACTTGTAAAGACAGATCATTACATGTTCACCCATCCCTAGCTGTACCTAACACGATGATGACAATGTGAATTTTGGCTGTGTGGGAACTTGCCTAAGAGTTAATGTACCAGGTATATTAAGAAAAATCATTCCTTTTGTCATCATTTTTAAAATGTATCAAATCTCTACATCTCAGCCTGATGGCTTTTAATTTTAATTTTTGTGGGTCATCTAGAATGGGTGACATTGATTTGATTTAATCCCCGCCCCCCTTTTCTTTATTTTTTTTGCATGAAATGTGAAATTGATCTCATACTAATTTGCTCAAAATTGGAAATTTGTGCCATTTAGGATGTAGTAAGTAGTAGTCAGTATGTATGTTTGTAGTAAGTAGTGCATCATTGTAACAAGTGGCCAAAAAAATAAGTTACAACTATCAAGACAGCCAGTAGTAGGCATTCCCGCTTCAAATTCTGAGCCAGAGTGCATGTCTGATAATCCCTCGACCCACGACTGAGAAAGCAGGATGCAGAGCTGTGGCTTGAGAATTGGAAAAAAAGAGGGACAACAGCTTCCTTTGAGAGGCTGACCACTCTGAGATACCAGGCATATTTGACAGAGTGTCTCTGTGTGCTCAGCAGAGACCTGTGTGCACACAGAGCACAGCAGACAGGCCGAGGTACAGGTTAACCACAATGGTGGGGAAAACATGTGCGAAAAGGTCAATGTCATGTACGAACTTGGGAAGGAGAAATTAGATGCAAATGGTTTAAACCT